CTTCTTCTATAATTACACTTCAAAATCAGATCAAATAAAAGAAAAATTCGCAAGAGTAGATACCTTGAGCATGAAAATCAAAAGCAACTCGTTATTTCAACTATGGTTGTAAAATCAATTTTGTACCTACCAAGTACAAGACAGTTAAAACATTTGTGTTCGAAATGTTTACGGAAATAATATAGCCTTCAGTCTCCTTTTGCATTTAAAATATGATCGCTTAAATGATAACTTTAGCCTTTCCCAAAACCGCCGCTTTTTCTGGAACAAACAGGAGAATACGACTACGCTTCAGCCTATCCTGTTATGAACAGCAAACTTCCTCCTGCAGCGTACTCTACTCATCAATCAAAGCATAAAATCCAGAAATTTCCCGAAGCAACAAAAGAAAAGCAGGTGACAGAAAAGTACGGAACTTTAGATGGTGGTATGGCTGTGCCTATCAATGGACAAAATCAGTTAGCAAGAACGTTTCCGGTTCCCAGAAGACAAGAGTTAGGAGGTGATGAAGAAGGGTTAGATCTAGAAGAAAATGTAGCATGCAAACCATGTTGCGTACCTGGACCTCGCGGTCAACCTGGGCGTAATGGAAAAAATGGATTTCCTGGAGCGCCCGGAACGAATGGATTAGCAGGTTTACCGGGGAAACTAAAACCTTGTGAACGTAGGTTCTCTCTTTTTTTACTCGGATCTTCCACCCAAACCTTAACGACGAATGCTCAGAAATGGCTGTGCAAATTTGCCGAGAGTGTCCACAAGGACAAAATGGTCATATTGGTTCTCCCGGACAACCAGGAGATCGTGGACAGCGCGGCAATCCAGGACGTAAAGGAATGAAAGGACTTCCGGGAACCTCTGGAAGAAGAGGTAAGTTTCATGCATCTGGAAGACAGCAACAAAGTCAAGAGCTGGCCATAAATTTTTGACAACTAAATCTTTGCATGTGTTCGTGGTCCTCCTGGACCGCCCGGCATTCCGGGAATACAAGGTGATCCAGGATCTCTACCGGTTGCTGAAGAACCGATTCCCGGAGAGCCAGGACTACCTGGAGTGAGCAAAATTCTTCACTTTCAATTTCTTTGGCAGAATGATTCTCTTATCTCAATTTCAAATTGTTAACGCTTAAGCTACCAGG